CGGACTGGACAAGATCTATATATTTCCGGACGAACTGGACATGTCTCGAAAAAATGTCTATGGCATTTCGACCATAATAGAAATTTTCTTAAAATAATTTTTCTAATTGTCCAATGGGTATCGAATTGCGCCCAGACCTAAGCTCAATCCGTTAATGGTATACAGAATAAAAGTTGAACGGGAACGTATACTCGATTCGTTTTGAAATTTTCACAGGTCAAAATAGACAACGAAATTCTCAAATTTGCACTCAACATGTATACCTAAATTCTAACGAAATGGACCACATGGCAAAAAGCGACCAATGAATATCTAGTATACAAAGATGTGATTTCGACTGACAGGCGGGCCTGCCGGGTTTGAGACAAATTGATGGCCTGGAAATTGCACCACTTCTATAGGGCTATATATTTTAATATATGTATGATGAAACGAGCAACGACTGAGGCGACTGAGACGACTTCGGGCTGGAGTGACGAGTGACAAGTGACGAGAGACGAGAGTGAATCGACTGTTTTAGCGCATCGGCCAGCTGCCAGACTGCCACACGTCATAGCGAGTAAATATCGGATCCAGCTAGTCTCTCTCACTCTACTCTAGTAGAGAGTAGAGTAGTAAAGTAAATAGTATGGGTACCAGCCCCCCCGCTCCCCCTCCCACGGCCCCACCCATTTTACATATATAGTAAATACATGCATACACATTTAGTACATACATACATACATACATAGTACATACATGCATACATACCTAATACATACATAAATATAAAATACATACAAAAATTCATAGTACATTCATACATACATACATATATAATACATACATACATACATGCATATATAACACATACAAACATACATAGTACATACATACATACCTGATACATACATAAATAGGTGTACATACATACATTCATATATAGTACATACAAACATTCATAGTACATTCATAAATACATACATATATAATACATACATACATGCATATATAACACATACATACATACATAGTACATACATACATACATGCATGCTTAATACAAACATACATACATAGTACATACTTACATACATACATGCTTCTATATAGTGCATACATACATACATATACATACATACATACATATACATACATACATGCCTAATACATACATAAATATATAATAAAAAAATACGTGCATACTTAATACATACATCCATTCATAGTACATACATACATTCATATATAATACAGACATACATATATTATACATACATACACACATACATACCTAATACATTTATAATATATATTGCATACATACATTCACGCTTAATACATACATACTTGCATACATATATAATACAAACACACGTACATACCCAAGTATATACATACATACATACATATACTTACCTGTATACAGGCATAGTGTCCATTTCTTTTGTTCTCTTTCTGTGCCTGCTGTGCGCCTCACGTACTAGCCTAATATACACCTTACTTACATTACTGATTTGTTATTCTGCATGTGATGGCCATTGAATGCATTTTCATAGCAAATATATATTATGTAACATGTATTAAAAAATCGAAAAAAGTACAAGTATATTTTGAGATATTGTTGTTTTTGCAGAAAAAAATAAACACCGGTAAATTGGGTAGAACCGGTAAATTCTGTGATTTCATTGGTGCACCTATCAATCGTACCCTACTTCGAACAGGATTTCTCTATTCATGTTGTAGAGGTAGTAGAGAGAGAGAGAGAGAGTGGTAAATACATACTATTTACTAGTTGTTTTGTTTGTTTTAAAAAACGAGCAAAAAACCAGTACAGCAGGACAAATTCCAATTTTTTTTATGTATCTATTTTAGTAGACTTTTAATTTTATTTTAAAATATAAAAAAATGTTCTGAAGTTCTCTCAGTAGTTCGTGTCTAAGCTCAATACGTGTTGCCTAATGCGATAAACTTTAAACGTAAACGCAAAAAGGTTTGTTTTTTAAGCGTTTTAAAGTATATCGGGGGCAAATTGACCATGATTTTTGTCCAAACTTGCACCTGAGAAATTGACCTTTTCTACCGAAAAGGCGTTTTGAAACTATTCAGAATAGACACAAAGTGAAAAATAGGACGATTCGTGACAGTTAGGCCGCCTCAAATTGCAAAATAGATCTGTCGGCTCTTCATTGGTTACCTTTAGTTTCATAGCCCATTTTGTTGTGAAAAGGTGCAGTTCTGGAGTGCAAAATCCACGATTTCGACCATACATTTTTGAGCCTATAAAAGTTAAACCGTATATAAATTGAAATAATAACGGTTAACGTTCAACTTTTATTTATACTACGTATAGGTTATTGACGTTCGTGTGAGACTGTGAGTGTGTATGTAGTAGATCACTGTAGAGTGTATAGTGTAGACACGCGCAGAGCCTCAGAGGCCAGAGTTGCAGAATGAAGACTGTAGTCTGTAGACTGTAGGTGAGTGTAGAGTGTAGACTCATCAGATTCAGAACAGTTGCTGGCAAAATGCCAAAAACTGTATATCAGTGAGTCAGTCCTGTGACTCCTGTCAGTCCCCAGCAGAACTTCAGAAGTCGGTAGAAGCTCGACTTGATGATGTTTTAAAATAAAATATATAGAGTAATTTATATTCGAAATGTCCGACAGTGGTTGAAATGTCAACTTGTCCGAAATCTGAGAATTTTTCACGTAAAAACCTAAAAAAAAGAAGACATGTTTAGCGAGTCTGGGGATCCAAGCGGTTTTTTTCGAGTCATTCGAAATCAACAGGCATAAAAATATTGTGACATAGAAACAAGAGGAAAGTAGTGTACTACACGCTGTACTCTCTCTGTAGAGTGTAGTGTGTGAGAGAGTAGTGACTGATACAGAATGATGATACTCATGAGAATTGATCAGGACTAGGAGTATGGGAGTTACGGAGTCGAGAAGAATCCAATGGGTTTATCTATATCTAATATCTCAGTTCTCCAGAATATTGTTTTTGTTAAATATTATTGTTGTTTTATTGCTTTAAAATAAATAAATAAAAAGATAATATAAATAAATATATATAAAATCTAATTTACAAATGAATATATATAAATACATATTTACACGAGAATATATACATAAATATATACAATATATTTATATACGTAAATATATACAATATATATATATACAATATAAATATATACATAAATATATACA